GGTTTATTGGGCAGTCACAAAATCGTTATACCATGGTTCGAGCCCAGACCGACTGACTTTTTTAATTTTTTTTTCAAGTTCATTTCTCTTTTGAGAAAATCTATTTTTTTCGAGCCCTTTTTTTTAGTATTTTTTAAAACACGAAAATTTAAATTAAACTAAAAAGTGCATCATGATTTTTTATTCAAATAACCAGTTCAGTTTTTTCTATTATGTCCCTAACATCAAAAAATATTATTCGTATTTCATCAGTATGTAATTTGTATCTAAATATAATTTCCAAAACACACGAATTAAAAAAACACCAAGCGAAAAATACCGAGCAAAGCTCGGTCAACCGGGTACTATATATATATATATATATATATATATATATATATATATATATATATATATATATATATATATATATATATCTTATTTTATTAGATTAGGGTCCTTACATATGAAATAGCCTTTTGTCGTACTGACCACTTTGATCTGAAATATCTCCTCTTTGGTTAAGAATTTCAAATTCTAATTTATAAATTCATTTAGCTGGTACATTTGAGTTTTGAAAACAGTCATTCATTTGTTTTCTCCTCATTATTTTTTTCCTTGGCGTTGCTTATTACCGCACAATGGAAAACATGAAATATCGGTAGTACGAGTTCTACCGTGGCACCAGTGCTGCAGAAACAGTTCGAAAGATTAATGATGTGTACGGCGCTGGTGTCACAAAAGAAAGCACGGTACGTTTTTGGTTTCAACGTTTTCGTTCTGGAAACTTCGACCTTCAGAACCAATCCCGTGGACGGCCGGAGACCAAAGTGGAAAATGTAGAATTAAAGGCTATTGTGGAAGCGGATCCACCACAAAGCACTTCAAAGATAGCTGGCGGCTTCGCGGTTAGTGATAAGACTATATTAATTCACTGAAGCAAATCGGGAAAGTAAAAAACTTTAACGATGGGTACCTCACGAATTGAGTGAATCGGACTTGCAAACACGCGTCGACTGCTGTGTTACTTTGCTCAACCGACACAAAAATGAAGGAATTTTAAATCGAATCATTACTTGTGATGGAAAGTGGATACTGTACGATAATCGGAACCGCTCGTCGCAATGACTGAAGCCTGGACGCCCAGCCAAATCCTGCCCTAAACGAAAATCGACTCAGAAAAAGTTATTCGTGAGTGGTTGGCGGACTAGCGCCGGTCATTCACTATAGCTTTCTAAAATCTGGCAAAACGTATAGTAATAGCTGCTAAACAACGGAGATTGGTCAATAGCTCTAGGCCACTGCTGCTTCACGACAACGCAAGACCACACACTGCACAATAAGCAACCACTCAGTTAGATGAGCTACAATTGGAATGTCTACGAAATTCACCATACTCCCCGGAACTTGCTCCAACAGATTACTATTTTTCCGGAATTTGGACAACTTCTTATAAGGAAAAAAATTCAACTCCAATGCGGCAGTCCAAACCGCCTTCAAAGAGTTTATTGATTCTCGTCCCCATGTTTTAAGTAAAGGGATCAATGAACTACCTATGAGATGGCAAAAGTGCATAGATAACAACGGTGCATACTTTGATTTATTAAATATATTTTACAAAAAAAAAATGACTTTATATTCCTTTCGTACAAAACGCCAATTTCGTATGTAATGACCTATTATATATATTCTAATTCGTTCGCTTTTTCGCTTGTTCGCTTTAGTAGAAAGATGAAGGCAAAAGAAGGAGCATTAAGTTTTCATTCACTTTCTGTAATATTTCAGTAGCAGGCACCTTTAACCTTCCATTGTCAGGCTCACTCATACCAATTAATCAATCCTATAACCATGTAGCGGAATTATCTCACTTCTTTGGTGCGGTGCCATGCGGTGCGGTTCGGTGCCACAATATTGGCTCGCCGTTGTCAGTGTCAAATTCGAAACATTTGCCATTTTACTTGTATGAAGCTTCTTCCTGTTGCTTGCTTTAGCATATAATATATATTTATTAAAATAAAAGTACTATCAATAAAAGTACTCTCCTTTCTGACAAAGTAATGGAGTAAACAGTCCACCGCGTGCTCCAGTACATGTTGGTTAAAATTTATTTCTCAGGCATGCTTCTGTATTTCGTATGGTGAGTGTAGAGAACCGGAGATCCTTTTTACTGGAAATGAGGCATTCCATCTTAGTCCCCAGGGGTGACAACGCTTCTGCATTTTGATTCTTAATTGAAGATAAACATAAATTTCTATGGACCACGGCATTCACTTAACATCAGGTGGACTGTGTGTTCATTTGTCACCATTATTCTTTAAAAAAATGCTGGATTTTTCAAATTTCTCTCTAATTTGTCACGCATTGCACGCGAATTGACATTCATAGTTTTTTTTTTAAATAATTATGTGGTTGTTATCAGGACGATGCTGCTGTTTGCGTGACTTAGGTTCCCTCTGCCGTCCCTAACGACATACACAGGATGACAATATGCGGTAGTGGTTTCTCCCTCACGCCATCACTAATGTCCTCCAAATCGAATATCGGCCACGGCGGCCTGCCTCAGCGAAGGCTAGCTATCGGCACAGGACAGGATTATAGTGCCCAAGTGTATGCGCAAGCACAGGTGCACTCTCTATTCCCTCGCTCTCATAATCCGATGGGACGGTAAACCGACACGAACGGAGAGAGATCAAGCGCAAGACCAACGGCTTTACGTGCTTTCCGACGCACAGGGGTGAGACACCGCCAACTTCCTGACTCCGGGCAGCTACTGAGAATTTCTTGACGGAAAAACTCAATAATTGATTTTGTTGGCTCGCCCCGGGATTCGAACCCAGGACCTCATGATCAGCAGTCGCACTACTACTACCACTAGATCAACGAGGCAGTCAATATGATATGTTGTACTGTACGATCACACAGTACAACACGATAATTACAAACAAAATAAAATTAAAAAAATCAAAGAAAATCTGGTCACTCTTCTAAGCACAAAAACTTTTACATAAATGTGCAACGGATTCAAACCATCAGCTCTCACTTAACTTAAAGTTAACGTTAAATAACATGTAAAACCATCAAATTTAAAAGCAATAACCGAATATAGAAAAATAAACTAATTTCACCCAATAGATCCTACAATCGATGCTAAGTCACAGTGTATCATCTGCCGACGTCAGTAACTATTAAGTGAATATTTTTATTTTGTTTTTGGTTTTTGAAGTTGGGTTTTGCTTTTTTATAAAAAAACTATTATCTTACACTTTCCCATTCTAAGGATATATTACAAGTTAAAAGTAACCACTAGAATTTCGTTTAAATAGTAACATTAAAACCTATTCCTTTAATTTTTTACCCTCAGGGGTGAATTTTGTTTTTCAAATTTATATAGGACCATTAAAGGACCCCTGAAGTGTAACCAATTTCAAACTATCACACACCGTTATAGCCTTTTTAAGTCGACTGCTAAATATGGCCTCCCCGCTGTCGGTGGCCGGTCCACTGCTAAAGATTACCTCATAGAGGAGATATTTGTCATATTTGCCACACTAAGCAACCGGGTCGAAAAAGCAGTTTTTAATTATAAGTCTTTTTAGGAAGTCGCTATTGCCTTTCTCTTAATAAGTTTATCTCTGTTGCCTTTTAAGACACCTGCCATGATGTGCGTTAATGAATATTCTTACACCGCCATAACACGGTAAAAATATTTTAAAACATATCAAAATTATTAAAAATGGACTATTATAAATAAAAATGTTAGTAAAGTTAGGCTAGAACATGCATAATCAAGAATAAAAATAGATGCAGATGAAGTAACAATGTCCTCCTTTTTTGAAATCGATTAAAAAAACAAACGCTTTGCTTCAAGAGTGCCTCACCGCCAAGAGGTTTTTTTTCAAGCTTTTATATGTAAATGATTTCACTGAAGCACAAATACTTAGAGTAAAATAAGCGAGAAAGAAAGTTTTCAGCATTGCAATAATTTTACATTATATATTGTAAGTTGTCAACTGCACAGGCCAAATACCACAAGTCTTAGTGGAGTCGCAGGGGAGGGGGTGCCCTACCCTTCGAGTTAAATTTTGTCATCGTAGACCGCATTCGTTACCATAGCTGTGTCTTCTGTTATTTCGACCCCTTTTCTGTTATCTTGACCCTGCAGGAAGGCGCGTCTTCTATTTGAGCGCGTCTGCTAGGAAACTACTTTTTTACTTTACCACAAATAGGTGGCTGATGTTAATGGAGCTTCGTGTTCATGCATCTATGAGAACATTCCCGTGGCCCTATCGATAAGCGGTAAAGATAAAACACAATAGAATTTTAGCCCATGCTAGTCCAATATAACCCATAGGTATATTCCCATTCATAAAAATAAAACGCTCCTGGCATCTAGTTCCTTTTAAAAGCTGAGATATAAGTATATATAAATACTATGTAGGTTATGAATTTAACCTCGATAAACGCGTAGAGGACTATCCATAAATCTCACAGCGCTTCCCAAATGATGTAATATGAATTGGTAACAGGTTTGCGGTCATCCAATAAACTGAAATCATAAAATATATTTTATGAAGCCTTTTGATAAATAACGATACAATTATTTTTTTACTGAATCCCAATTCCAACCCCAATCCAAAAAATTGTCTAAGTAATTATCGCCGTGGTTATTGAGAGCCGTGGTAATCGTAAATCTACTGAAAAGAATTTAATTGCATGGTATGTACTCAATCAATTTTTTCTATAATCTGTTCACTTCAGATAAAATCACTAAAACCTTATTCTTGTAAATATAAATTTGCCGTATATATGTATATATGTATGTATGGCTGATGGCCTGATGGGTCCTGTGGTTGTTCGTCTTCGAGAGCTTTTATTTGTATTATAAAGAAAACAGAAATACTATGTAAATTGTTTAATCGTTTTGAAAACGAACAAAATTTGTATGAGATATTCACAAGTGTCTTCATCATATTCAATACATAAATATGAACTGATTCGCCTAATTTTTATTACAAGCTAAAATGGCCAATTCTGTTAATATTTCTATCGAGGCTCCTATTGAAAATCAGATTCAAGAAATCACCTACGATGGTCAAGAAATATATCAAGCACCACTATCTATGTCAGAAAACCTCGCAAGACTTGCACAAAAGATAGACTTTTCGAAGACTGAGGATGAATTCTGTAATATTAAAAAAGAGGGAGAGAGTACTTTAGAGATTAAATCTGAAGATGAGAGTAAAGAGCCGGGATATCAGTCAAGCCTATGGCCATGGGATTCTGTTAGAAATAAGTTAAGAAATGCCCTTACTGAAGTGTGTGTACTGGCTGATGTCCTAAGCATTGCTAAAGAGAAGAGGTACATGGTGCTTGATCCAATTCAGGCTGAGCCGATAGATAGCAGACCAATGGTACAAGTGTATGGACGTAAGAAAGCATTAGGTGCTGCTGGAGCTGTTCTCTTGGCTGGTGTTGAACGACTGCGAGCTAGTGAGACCATGAGAATGACCCGCAATATGCCAGATTTTCACATAGACCTGTTGCGTCTTAGACAGAACTGGCGACTAAAAAAAGTCTCCAATACAATTGTTGGGGACTTAAGTTATAGAACTGCTGGTTCTAAATTTAGTCAGACAGGAGTCTTTGAGGTTACCAAAGCACCAGAAGAACAGATAGCACAAGCTATGAGTATGAATGCATCTGGGCCGGCTCCATCTGCATTGAGAGTTACAGTCCCTCCAGAGTTACAAGGGGTGGCTTTTATCTCAGTTCTCTGCCAAAAAGAGCAAGAAGATGTAGTGACAGCAACCCTAAGCTCTTCAGCACTGAATTGCCCTGGAACACTTCCTGGTGATGGAGCAGAACTACACTGGCAGCAAAAAATTAGAAGCAGCACAGAATGTTCTTTTTTGCAAGGAGCTGTTTGCTCGCCTCGCGGCTGAAGCCGTCCAGTTAGATGCTACTATACCACATATGGTGGTAGGAAATCAGATAATGGCTACAGTTCTACCGGGCATCCAGTTGTTAATAGGTCTGTGCCACAATAACGGCCAAAATAACAGTAATGCTAATCCTGAAGGTGTTAAGACTGAGGGTTCGAGCGGTAAATCAGAACATGATCATGTGTTAGAGCATTCGCTCCATCAACTGTTGCGCGCCGTCCACCACAACAACACGCATCACCCGTTCCCGCACCCCGCGACCGGCCCGCTAGGACCCTCAAAACGACGTTCACTCGCAGGTCCCATGGCAGCAGACCGGTACGAGCTGCTAGAGATGAGCAAGGAGCAGTCGCTGCTCGAGCAGATAATCCAACAAGCACAACATTTCTTCATGCGAAGGCGCAGCGAATATGTACTAGATACTATTGCAAAAGAGGTGAAAGATCCGTTGATAGTGTCGCACTGGAACGCACTGAACAGCCCTACTCAATCATGCGTCAAAATCAACATAATGGCGTACGGGTATGACGCGGTTTGCCGAACTTCTCTGGTGGTACACGTGGGCGAGAAGACACTAAAATGCATCTGCCGCGATGGCAAAGTGCGCCATCTGTCGTACGAGTTGCAGGAGTTGAGAGATCTCATATATTGTCAGATCTACCAGCACCAGATGACGGCGGTGCAGGCGGTGGGGCGCTGCATGGGCTGGCAGCTGCTGGCCAGCTCGGCGCACCTGGGCTCGGGGCCCGTCGAGCCGCTTGCCAACGCCTCCACCTGTCTGCTGGCCTCGCCCGCCGGTGACAGAATGATAGCGATAAGGTGTGAACCATCAGTTGGTATCCAAGTCTTCATAGCTCAGTCTCCCAGGAAAGATTTCTTCGCAAGTGAATTAGTACAAGATAAGAAATGGGAGAACCTAGGTGGTGCCTTCAAGGAAATCAAATTAGAAAAAATGGAAGGCAAAAAACTTTCTTAATAAGATGGAGTTGCTGATGGCATGCCTAAGCAGTCCTTCATAACTTATTAGAAATAAATTTTACATGCTAATTATATAGGAATAAAAAAATATACGTGGCAGAGTCACGCTGCAACTATATTATGGATAGAGCACGAATGGATTGACCCGATTCACCACGCTCGTACAGAATACAAGCGTAAATTAGCAGTATAATTTTGCGTTGTTTCGTATAGTGAGCGACTAAAACCATAAAAAGTTAAAGGTTATTTCAAATGAACGATTCCATCCTAGTCCTCAGGGGAGACAACGCATTTACTTTTTCTTGTTTTATTGAGCCACTCATCACACTTTTCATTCTTCATAGAATATAGACGGGTGCCTATAGGCCAGAATATCCACTTGTGATTCGTTTGTCACCCTTCAAAACTTGAATCGAGACAAAGAACATAAAAATGAATAAAAAACTTGGCCTTATTCTGAAAGGGATGTAAGAACCTTGTTGACATTTAATTAATTTTTCATTGAATTTTAACATCAAAGAAATATGGAAATAAAATTAATGCAAACATTTTCGTAGCAAAAATAAGCACCGAAGTTTCACTGGATTCAGAAAAACAAATTATTGTGATTGCATATTCTGTCAATTAAGACTAATCCTTCATACTTGAGAAAGATCTGGCCAGTTATGTGCTGTTTAAAACCGTATGTGAATGTTGAAATTACCAGTGTGTCACATTTCTCATCAAACAAACAATTAATTTCTTTAGTTTAGTTTTTCTTTCATTTTCACCATGTCTTGCAGGCAGACTGACGTGAGATGCAGACGTCTCAAATCCTTTGACGCTGCTTTCCATCACTGGCTTTTTTAATTCTGGCGTAAAAAAATGGTTACCCGCCATCAATTGGAATCCGCGGAATTTTTATGTCATACACAGTCGCCTCATATGTCACCCACGGAATGAATGATGTAATGGATTTTTAACGCTGACATCACAGGGAAATGTTATGACGTATAAAGCGAAAGGAGCCAATTTCCAGTAGTGGATTTTTACAGCCGGTTTAATAAATATAACTTATTGTACAGCATAAATAATTTACGAAATTAAAGTAAAACAATGGATCTGAAATCAGTTGTACAATCAGATACAGATGCGATCTCTTCAAAGCAACATTTGCATGGACAGTAAGTTAAAATATGCTGGCGATGTGAAGGAATTAACTAGCTTTCAACACTTTACATATACATCTCCGCTTCCTAGATTCAGGTGGGACAGTAATCAAGCATTGGCTTCCAATATTTAAAAAAAAATGTCCGATTTATATTTTTTGAGAAAACGTCATATGAAACTCATATAAATCGCCTCATAATATACATAATAAAATATTTTCGTTATACTGTTATAAAAACATCTATTTGTTTATGTACCACGACCGTAGCCGTCTCTTTACATACAAAAAAAATTTTGTTCGTTTAAATTAATATGCACCAACGCCCACTAGACAGTTGCGTCCACGACAACACCGTAACGTATCATGATCGAACCATCAGCTAATTCGCAATGAGAATATTTGACAAGTATCGATAACTCGATACGCTTCGTGCATGGCATGTGCGTCTATGCAGGCGATCAAACACGTATAAGCCCCATATTCATACCGTTGTACAAAATAATAGCAATTATAAAAGATTTTTGACTCGTTGGTCCAGTGTTCGTAAACCTCGTTGATCGTCGGCTGATCATGATGTCCTGGTTTCGAATGGGGCCGAGCCGAGATAGTCAAAAGCAGCCCGGAGTCAGGAAGTTAGCGGTGTTTCACCACCTCGAGACAGCTGTGTTTTTTGCCTGATGCGTTAATCGTATAACCATTGTAGTGTGCCGCAATCTTTAACTTACGAAATAAACGTCACTTTGCTACAAAATCATGACAGCATTTGTCAAAGAGATCAAAGTTACTTTCATTGAAATGTCACTACCAGCTTTTCAGATATAAGTATCTCCCGTGAATTGAGCGTCAGTAACGAGTAGAAACGAACCCTTTTGTATGAATTAATTCATATCTTTCAGCCATTTTATCATGGTAGTTTCAATTTGTTAATTCAGTAGCACTGTGCTAATTTTAATTTTGCACTCAATAGATTTTTAGTATATATCATCATCATTTTCAATATCATCATTATAGCCGCTAATAAGTCCACTGCTGAACCTAGGTTCACTAGTAACTCAACAAATCAAAGAACGCGGCTGAATAATCTATATAATTGCCGTGGTAGCTCAAGGCCCAGGAGTGGGCGTTAAAAATAAAGGAGCATTTTTAGACTGATTCTACTGGTAAACTAGTTTTTTCGTAAACTTGAAAACCAATATTTCCAGTCCCGTTTGGTTGACTTTACCACCAGTACCACGGCTCATATATAATATATGTATACTCTATATGCTAAGCACTCGGCTTAAATTTCGCAGTAAGCGAACAAGCTAGGTTTGCTTTTTTTGTGTGCAAGCAGCTATGCAGGCCTAGAGTGAGAGACCAGTGTCATTGCTACCTAAAAGATCTATTATAATCGCTGCTATGTCTATAGTTCACTGCTAAGCCCTATGTATTCAATGAATAGGAATTGCTTAGCTGTGAGCGATTTCACTTCTTCTGAGCGGCGTACATAGTTTCCCAGATGAGTGTTACGTTTGCTCATTAAGGGTCTAAATATTAAGAAAAAATGTTTTGTATCTTTCTAGGTCGAAAATTTTTCAGACCACTCACGTATTTCAGCCCAGGAGCGAATAAAGTTCCTTATCAAAGTAATATTTCATCATCATTATTTATATTCACAAGTCCCTTGCTGAATATAGAACTCTCGCAAAGAATGCCACTAAGCACGTTCCGGAGTCCATTGACTTCCTTCATGTCTTACCAGGTCCTCACTTCATCCAGCGGGAGGCCGCCCTGAACTTTGCTTCCACATCGGTTGTCGGTTCTTCCAGTTATATGGCTGGCCCATTGCTACTGATCCGTTGGGCTATGTCAGTTACACTGGTTCTATTGCGGATATTCTTATTTCTAAGTTTATCATGCAGAGAAACCCCGAGCATAGCCCTTTCCTTCATAGCTCGCTGAGCGACCTTGAGCGTCTGCATGCGGCCAGCAGCGAAGGACCACGTCTGGCTGACACTCGAGAACCTTTCTTTTTCATCCGTTGTCAGTTCTTTGAGCTATATGGTCTGCCAATAGCCACTTCAGCTAACTAACAGCTGTTAGTGAGATTTTTTAATATACATTTTATACACTGCAATGTAGTTCGGTACGAGACGCGTCATATTGACGTGGTGGCAGCGCCGTTGTAACAAGCTGGCATTTGTTTTATAAAAGTGAAGTAATTTAAATAATACTAGTTTATACGGGTTTTATCGCGTATATTTAACTTTATAAATACCCGACGTTTCAAGCACTTTACAGCACCCATGGTCACGGTGGAGACTGAGATGTTGAACGTCTAGATGTCATAAATTAACCGCGGTTACCATAGATTAAATTTTTTTTGTTTCGATCTATGCAGTATGAACTTATGATATCTTGAGGTCTTGCAGTTGTATGCTTGGGTTGGGTTTTAATTTTATTAATTATAGGATCCCAAGCAGATGGTGGCTCTCAGCCATCTTCTCTATTGAAATTAGGATAGGAAGGAATCGATATTATTTAGCGAGGATATGTGGTCTATCAAATCTGACGTAGTGACGGAGGCGGTCCTGTACGTGTCCACATACTGCAGACTTCCCAGAGCGTCGATGTCTGTCAATTATACATAAATAAGCCAATTGTGCATAAATAACGTCACACTAATAGATCCTATACAGGCAAAACGGGGACGGGTCGCTGCTAAAATATAAAGGAAGCATTTGTGTAAACGTTGGGTTCAAATTTTAAAAAGTAACCACATAAACTTAGACGCCAACTGTTTCGTCCCTGAAGTTTTTAATGTCATAAATATCAACAAAGTTTTTGCTCAATATTCAGGTAATTCAGTTCAAAATTTGCAAACAACGTCAAAGTTTGGTAATTTATTTCCGTTTTTCGGCACTGTTCCTGAAATGGAGCGCTATAAAATCAAAATTTCTTTCTTCCAATTTGTGCTCTAAAATACGTATCCTAAAATGCGCTTTTCTAAATTTCTGAATAATTTAATATTCCTAACATATTACTGCTAAGGCTTGTTTGCTTATAAAGTAGACATATCTAACAGCCTGCATTTGTCCAATTTCTGGACAATAACCTTATCCCATTTTTGAGATTGCCGTGTAGTGGCGGTTAAGAATATCCACTACCCCATATCTTCCCGTGGGTGTCGTAAGAGGCGACAGAGGGAGACAGGCAGGAGATGGGCAGCAGCATCTTCCTGATAACAGCAACTGTACGACAAAAAAAAACTGCGGTTGCCAACCCGCTCGCCAAGCGTGGCAACTATGGCAATATACCCCCCATGAACAATTACACAAATAGACGGCCCCCAGTCCCCGGCGGCCCCGCTATTCCTGGCTACGGTGGCGACCATGGTAACGGCGGGGCAGGGGGTGCTAAGAATCTCCGGTGGAGGTTCGGTTGCCACCTACGACGACTCGACCTGGCAACATTTAACGCACGCACACTGAGGACTGACGAGAAGATCCTGGAGCTGGAAGAAGAGATAGACAAGTTGCGCTGGAGTATTATAGGATTATCCGAGGTCCGAAGAGAGGGGGAGGACACGGTGATTCTCGAATCCGGCAACTTGTTCTATCACCGGGAGGGCGACCATCTGTCCCAAGGAGGTGTCGGATTTATCGTCCACAAGTCTCTCGTCAACAACGTTGTACAGATTGAGAGTGTGTCGACGAGGGTCGCGTACCTGATACTCAGAATCACCAAACGGTATTCGCTGAAGGTCATACAGGTTTACGCACCAACCTCGGCACATTCCGATGAGGAGGTGGAGGAAATGTATGAGGATATTTCCAAAGCCATACATTCCCCCCAAAACCCACTACACT